GGTGAGTTAAGCAAGTTTTTCGTACTTACAAAATGAACTTTGCGTAACTTTAAGCAAGAATTTAAACTAAACTGATAGTTTAAATCGCGTTTAAGTTGTTATAAAATTAGTGGAGTCATTTCACAAAATCAAATTAATTTCATGGTTTTTGTTTTCTATTTCGTCTGTGGTAAGCAACACGTCTGTCCATAACAGTTGCAGTGCCACTAAGAACTTTAAAAATCCCAAAGATTGAAAGGAAACTGCCACTACAACCGCCACCCTAATAATAACGTACACACTCATAACCCCGCCCTAGGGAAACCCTGCATCGCGTGTGCTATGGAACACACACATAGACAACCACAAATTACACCCAAATTCACGAGAGAATGAAGTAGAAGAAGAAGAAGAATGTAGGCTAATCAAATATTTATCCCGGCCCGGAAATCGAACCCGGGATCTCTGTGTAGCAAACCAGCATGGTAACCGTTCAGCTAGGGAGGCAGTACAGTCAACTTAAGACATAAGTTGACAAGTCCCATGTGCTTGTAATTTCACCAGCACCTTTATCCTTCCAAACCAGAACGCAGTATTGCTCACATTCCTGCTTGGCAGCAGAAATAGGTAAGATGGCAGTACTTCCTTGGACGAACTCTTTCTAAAAATACTAAATGGTAGTAAATCATCATGGTATTCAATAAAATCAATTTAAATATAAAAGTATTTTTATTGTCCAGAAACCAACTTTCCTTAATGTCGATTTTCTAACATTCATAAGGCCTAATTGTATTTCGGAATTATAGTACAGTATGTACGCAAAGTTTTTGAAGTGGTAGGTACCTAGCACAAAGGTGTTTGCGCATTTTCTTGAGTAGTTATGAAACTATTCCCATAATATGAGAAACCTATACAATAAAATCTAAAATCGCACTGGGGATCTTGTGCAAAAACACATATTGAGACTCCCATACCATTTCTAACTTCACTATTCTAAAGCGTTTTCTCTTTCACTAGACACTTGACGCTGGAATGAAGGTAATTCATTGAACGAACCACTCGGCATTTGTCTCATTTACGTATCTTTATTTTGCAGGAAATTCGCTGTTCAATGAACTTGACAATTTTTCGTTATCTGCACAAAAATTCTCTTTCAAATTTGTTTAAGACACGCTAGAAAAGCATTCATTAACATACTGAGTGCAGAATATGACCGTGATACACTAACATGGTTACGTTAGTCATGAAATGATAATCGCACAGAAGGTCATATGTTGATGTATTCAAATTGTAAGTAAAGGATGGTCACCCTTTGTTAAAAATTAAATCTTACGTCGATAATTCCGGGTTCAAATTTGCAATATCGCAAGGACTTTAGACTTTGCGTGCTTCTCTCTGAGCTCAAATGCAATGTTTATAATGTATGATTTAAATGTGTGCCGGTGCACATGTTTAGTTATCGGGCGTTGCGAATAGAATTAGTTTCATGAAAAGTAAACGACATTATGACTCGATCTACCTACATAAAATACTTATACCAATAGAAAACTTACCAGAAAAATATGGTTAACACTGCAGCAATGATATGCGTGAGAGTAGTGTTTCTGTATGTAGCTCTTGTCATCACATCTTCGCTGCAATAAGGGCATCGCATACCCACAGGTTCCGAACCCACTTGAAGTAAATCCATCTCGATGGACACGTTTGAGCTTTGAAGGATCTGATGATACTGATTGGACTCCACTGGAAAGAAAACGTACCATTAAAATTAACAATTGGGCCTTAATTGACTTTTCACAATACTTTTTTGAACTACCTGGGTGCGTTTGGCACGTTGCTACGTGTTTTCGGTTCTTCTGTATGACGTAGAGTCCTGGGCCTTAACTCAAAATATGAGCAACTGCATAGAAGCCTTTGAAATGTGGGTCTACAGAAGAATTTTAAAAATATCGTGGACAGGTAGAGTCTCTAATGAAAGAGACTCAACTAGTGGGATATTTTAAATTCCATTTGCCGCCAGTGGCAACAACAGATCTTTTTATCCCGTTTGTCACCACCTGCTGATATATGGGATTTTTTTTCTCTCGTTTGTCACCACTTGGTAACATATGGGGTTTTTTCCCCATCTGGCGCCAGTAGAAATCACTGGCAACAACTGAGGTTTTTTATCCCGTTTGTCACCACTTGGTAACTGACAACTTGACAACTGGGAATAAGCCAATTTTTCCCGTACTAATACGGTTTATTTTGGTTACGTCGAGCGGCAGGGACACGTGCTTCATTACAGAATATTTTTTTTTATAAACATATGAAATTTTGAATTTTTTTGCCATTTGAAAAATGTTTATCGTATAGTATACGTGTTCTATTTACTTAGTTCAGTTGATATTAAAAAAAACATTGGTATATGTAAAGTACCTATTGAATGCAGCGGTTTTCTAGTAAAATTGCCAGGTAAGTTTGCCTTTTCCATAGTAAAATTTTTTAGGAATCGTGTTTTCACACCGTATGGTAATCAGTGTATATCCTCAATTTTTTACAAAGTGATTGATTCAACACTCACTGTGCGGAATCAACCAAAGCCATTGAGAGAGTATAGACTCTTAAGCAAAATCAGCGTAATTGACATTTTTCGAACAAAAAAAGTGCCAATATCTCCAAAGTTAGTGTTAGTTATGACAAGGAGGGCAGAATGGTTCTCGTAATATTTAGTCTAACGAAGAACCATTGTGTTTTACTTACTTACGTATAGAGTTTGTGAGAAGCATGCTTGGTACCATATATTTTTTTAATTTTAAAACTCCATAGGTAAAAGTTTCTGATTATAGATAAACAATATTCTTACAATGATTATAAGTAGTAGAAGTTACTTACGTAAAGCCAAAATTGAAAACACAGTACGATCGCATATGTTTTGACCCATAATTACGGATATCTAATAACTTTGGTAAAATCGATAAAACCACACTTGCTTGTTTTCATATACTTAGTTATATTAAGTATAACTAAGTTGAAATTAATCAATTCATAACAATACCATATATTCAGGCGTATCAGTTTAAATTATAATGTTAAAAAATAGTTAGATATACAAAATGTTACATAAACTTACTTGTGGCCCTATTTTTATGTACAAAATCGTTCAAACACTTCAACCACTTATTGTCGCACTTACAGACACTATTAAAAATCACTAAAACTGATTTAATATTTGCTATAAGGCCTCGAAATTTACGTTGTTTTGTTTAATATCCTTCCCCGAAATTGCCTTTGATACTGGATATCGGTCACATTTTGTACTAAGTACCTACTACTCGTTGAATGATGGCAAAGCCTTGATAACAAAGCATCGATTTATCAGTTACCTATCAAAAGATAACATTACTTGGGTCGAGTAGGTGAATAATACGATCAATATAAGTACTTGTTTACCATTGTATGCGGGCGGTATTGTATGTGTAAAATCATTTGTACTGTTGGTCAATCTTTTCGCAGAGTTGTGTAATAACTATTTATATAGTCACTGAGATATGGGTCTATTCTTCTTCTACTTATTGATTTATTAATATGGAGATTTAGCGTAGACTGTGCGTTTTATTCATTCTCGCAATAACCATAATATAATAAATAGAATAAAAGACGCCTGGGCAAGTACGGTATATATCTTCCATAATTCAGAAAGGAAAATGATTGCTATGGTCAGGGAAGGTGGATGCTTTATCCCATCTACAACTGCTTAATTAGAGGAGTATACATACACAATATGCAATGGTAAATAAATACGTAATCGAAATTAAGCTGATGGTCAGGGGGTAACGATTTTACTCTTCTTATAATTAATTTTAGTTTTTGAAATATAAAATTAGGTCTATTAGCGCTATGTCTACTCAGCTAACGGTAGAAAGAAAAGACTCCCTACATTAAAACGAACTGCAGTAACGTTACTTACTGCGCGCGTGGCGCAGCATTCGATGTTCTTATCCTAATAATAAGGCACTGACAATTTCTGTCAGTGCCTTATTATAAGCTAGAAATATTTCTAAAAGGAATCAAAATCGTATTTTCACTCTACGTGGTATAATAATTGAACACAGGATTCGCTCTGGGCATTTTGGAGGGAAAAGTGAGAAAAAGACTTTCAATTATTTTATGAAATCAAGTTTAAAGTGGGATAGGATAGTGCTATTGTGCCTTAATCGAAGATTAAAACGCGAAGTTATACGAATCTCGAACTAAAATACCCGTATCGGCCCGATCTAAGGAATCCTGAGTCAATCCAAGCACGCCGCCTCAAATTGCCTATCCTCTTTGTGGCGGCCATATTTACAGAAACATAATTAAACGAAGACATGGCTCAAAGGACTTGTATCCAAGCCAAAATTACTAATAAAAAAAAATAATTTAACACATTATCTACACTTCGTAAACACAATGTAAAAGCGCGGGAAACGTTTGAATTGGCTGACATGTTTTTTTTTGTTGTCTATGTTCAAGATAGAGTTTATTTAAAATTTTTTGGCATAGGTAAAAGTGTCCATTTTTAGGTATTTCCTTTTTTATGTAGGAAGGGGGTTGAATTGTAACAGAAAACTCTTTCTAAACGTTTTCTTAAGCACGTTTGGGACGCTATGTAGTTGAAAAGCAGTCGCAGTTACGCTTTTATTCAACTTTCTATTCCTGTGAAACCGTGGATTTCCTCTAATTTCCAAATTCTTTTTTTTTTTCCAAAACGAATGAAATGAAAAAAAAAGGTATGAGTAGGTATAGGAAAGCCTATACCTACTCATACCTCCAGTAGGTATACTTCTTCCAGAATCCATTCAGGTCCCGTTATCGTCTAAATTCAACCTCAATGATGTTGAAATTCGAAGTTTCTTTATGTTAATACTTTATTATTTTAAACCAAAGCTAACCGAAAAACCAAAAATATAAAAAAAATACACTCAGTCTTGGCTGTATGGTGCATAAGACCTTTTGCCTTTTCACAATGAAAAAAACAGTACTAAAAAAAATTTATGTCAAATTTGTGAAATTTGACAAATGTTATGTTGTTTTGCAAGTCAAGTTAAAATTAAGATTGTTTTGTACTGAACTCGAATATCTCAGCTTTACACATGAAATATGTGTAAAAACAAATGAGGACTCTTGCCACTTAGTTAATTATTATTGACATAATACGGACATGTGGTAAACTGAATTTTCAAAATGGATGTGGACCTACTGCGTCCCGGCACTGTGCCGATATCTCCGGATACAATACTCTGGTTTGAATTCCTTCTCGACCCTAACCTTCTGAAGAAGCATCTGAGCAAACCTAATCCAGGTATGTAAGATTTTTAGTATTTTAGAGATATAACCTCTTAGGTAGTTTCACTATTTTCCAATGACAGTAGAACTGTATACAACACAAGGGTGCCTTCAAATTAGACGTTTGTAGAAGTACTGCAGTGTGTGTGTCTGTAGCGCTTCAGACATTTTAAGTTCACTAATTGTGACTGCAAAATATTGGCGCGCGTGGGTTACGACAGTGACGCTGCAACTGCGCTTCTAAACATTATATGAAAGTTAAAAATGGCGCGGCTGCAGCGCCATAGTAGCGTCACTGCATCGCTTCTATAAGAGTCTAATTTAATGCTTTCTGTAGTGAAGTACTTAATAACCATAGATGATAAAAAAGACGACCTCGGTAGGGTGCTATTCCGTGCCGGATTTGCAGTCTTGGTCACCGTAGGCCCCAGGCTACATAGTCAATACCAGCATCCGTTCAGAAGTTTTTGAGTTTATCGAGATCAGACAGACAGACACACTTAGGGCAAATCTACCAGACGAAGGAACCCTTTTCAGATAGTGTAGATGAACACAATTTTGGCCATTGTTTTTCTGAGAATATATTCAATAAAATTTCATCAAGTTAGTCAATGTTGATTGATGTCAGCACAAATGATAAAACAGTTAATAATAAAAATCATCCTTTGCAGAACCGTCACCATGTGTTTTAATAGAGGAGTTCCTATCAGTGGATACTAAAAATGCATCCAATTCTAAGCCAGCGAGTGAAAGAATTGTGGATGTAGACAATCCACCTAGTCCGCCTGCAACCACACCATCCACTATACAGTTCACACGGAAACAACTAGCATTGAAAATACTGGCATTAAAAGTTGCTTCTACTTTGCATTGGAATTTAGGTATATTAATTATAAAGTTGTTGTTTTAGTGCCTTGCATTATAGTTTGAAAATGAAAGTAACCAAAAACAAGATAGAAGAAGGATAAACAGTAAATCATCACCTAAATTCATAAACCTTGTATGTCCATTAACATGAACTTTGCACAAAAAACAGAATTACTAGAAATAATTGTATGACAGTTTATCTATCTTATACCTTTATTTCATAACTAAAAAAGTGTAAAGGAGGCTTGAAGTGTAAAAAAGGAATTTTGTCCAAAACACTAAAACATAACCTCCTTTAAAATCCTGTCATGATCTTTTGCATCGGTTCCTGCAATTCAATTGCAATCATCATAGTACAGATATCACCCTACCCTACTATATCACCAAAGATGCTATTATTTTCTTTTTTGCATAACGTCTGGAGCTAATGAAGTACCAAATAGTATAGTCCCAAACATACACATCCTCATCATCTAACAATATCTGAAAAAATCCATCTTTCATGTCTAACATAGTAAACACCTCTTTCCCTGCTAAATTATTATAAATTTCTACTGGTGATAGTGCCTGATAATTTTCTTTCATTATACTTTCATTCTACTCTTTGGGATCTAAGCATAACCTCAATGACTCATCTAGCTTTTCTGCTATAACCAAATTATGGCACTAAGCTGTTGGGCCTTCTACTTTTTTTATAATTACCCTACTTTCATAGCTGTTTCAATTTTTTTAAAATATATTATAGACAGACGCTTGGCCACAATCTCACCTGATGGTAAGTGACAATGTGATCGAAAATGGGACGCGTTTGCCTAAAAAAATGCCTATTCACTCTAGCCTTGAATAGCCCCAAATTGTACTTTTCGAGAAATACAAATAGAGCATTCCATTCTTTTGCCGTACACATCAGACGAAGCAAAGTGCTTAGTGCGAATAGGTGGAATATTAACGACATAAGAATGGAGTGCTCCGGACCTTCTAGTCTACTAAAGGAGGAATAATGAGGGTGGAACTAAATTGAAAAGTTCCTGTGCACACTCCAACCTGCAGGAAACTGACAAGCAGGCCACTTTTTTGCGATGGTCGAGATTTTGTAACTTCAACTCCACAAGAGAATTGTTGTAAATAAATCTCTTTGCTTTTGGCTCCACTGAATCCAAGGCAGCTAACTGGTAATGGGCAGAGCCATCCCAAAGGTAGCAGCAATACTCCATATACGATCAAACTTGTGCTTTATACGGATTTAAAAGCTGTTCAGGTGTGAAGTACCGCCTGACCTTGTAAAGAATGCCTAGTTTTCTGGCAGCAGATTTTGCCAAGCACGAGATGTATCGCCCAAAGTTGAGGTTGGATGATAAGTCTAGACCAAGTAGCTCAAGGTGATCCCTTATCGGCACGGCACAGATAAAAGTCTTGGAAAGTCGGAGTAAGGTGTAGGGGACTCCGTTTTGATGTGAAAAGACACGCCTGTGTTTTAGCCGCATTAAACCTGACCCTGTTCGCATCTCCCCAGTCGGAAACCGCTTTCAGGCTCAGGTTCAACCAGGTGACCATCGACTCTCGTTTACACTGGATCTCTTCGCTGTTGTCTCGGGCGTCTGTCACATAACTCTCTACCACTGTGCTGTCGTCTGCGTACCCAAAGATACCGGGCATCATAAAGGAGGTCGTTGATATGCAGCAAGAATAGAGTGACGGAAAGGACAGATCCCTGAGGTACAGTGGCATTTATATCATGAGGAGCAGACGAGTAACTACACATCTACAACTACACGGATTGACCTATCCTTCAGAAAATCGCCTATCCACGTGCAAAATCGGGAACGGGAAGCTTGTTTAACAGGCTGTCATGCCAAACCCTATCAAAGGCCTTTAATATGTCAAGAGACACGGCAAGCGATTCACCGCGTTTTTCGACGGCCTCGCCCTATGTAGCATACACAAGAAGATTCGCAGTAGATCGACCACGACGAAAACCATACTGTTGATCACTGAGAAGATCGTTATCTTCGAGGTATCCAAGGAAACGGCTGTGCGATACGCGCTCTACAGTCTTACAGAGTATAGAGGTGATTGCGATAGGTCTATAATTTGATGGGTCGGCATGACTACGTTTCTTAGGTACAGGCTGTACATTTGCAAGCTTCCAAGTTTTCGGGACTTGTCCAGAACTCATAGAGAGGCGATACAGGCGAGTCAACACCGGAGACAACTCGGGTGCACAGTTCCGCAGGACAATCGCTGAAATTCCGTCAGGGCCACACTGGCTTTCTTGACGTCTAATTTGCGTAAAGTTTTCAACACCTCCTTTTGACGGATAGTGATCTCGGACATTTCCGAGTTACAGCGAGGTAGTGTAGGTGGTGTTTGCGAAGTAACGTTTAGTCGGGAGTTGGAAGCAAAAAGAGAGACAAAAAGATTGGTTTTGTCTTCAGCGGTGTGAGCCAGCGATCCATGAGCTCTCATTAAAGGCGGAAGGGATGACCTACAGAAATTCGCTTCGGCCGATTTAGCGAGCGACCAGAATGCTTTACTCCCTGATGGGTATGAAGTTAACCTGGCCCCAATACGACAAGTAAGGCCGAAGCGAGCTTTCCGTATCGCTTTTTTGCAGGATCTAGCGGCTTTATTAAAGGCTTTCTTCAGACGGAGGGTTTCCAGTGCTTTGCGATCTCGAGCATCAGCCCAAGCCTGGTACACAGATTGCTTTAGCATTTCCGCAGAAGCACACTCAGCGTTAAACCAAGGGCGAGCTTTGCCGCTGGAGGAGGCTTCGAAATACGGAATATAGTATTCCATAGCCCGAATAATCACGTCAGAGACGGCAGACGCGCAGCGCGTCGGATCGTCAGAAGAGAAGCACAGCTGCCGCCAAAGAAATGCCGCGTCGTATCCCAATCTGCTGACTTGTATTGCCACATCCTCCTAGTACCTCTCGTAGTGAGATCGAGTGGGGAGTAGACAGATACAGATTTCACCAGACAATGATCGGATGTCCCTAGTGGGGACGAGACCGATACTTGATAGCGGTCTGGATAGGTTGTCAGCAGAAGATCCAGGCAATTGGCTGTGTGATCGTCAACGTCCGGTACCCGGGTAGCGCGACTCACCATCTGGGTGAGGTCTAGCGATAGAGCACAAGCTCGCGTCTCTCTTCCAGCGTGATCGGTTAAATTTGTGCTCCAGAATGTAACCTAGGTAAGCCAGATACGCCGTGTCGGAAAGACATCTAATTTGGGTCTCCATGAGGAAGAGCATGTGAGGCCTTTCAGTCTCAAGATAGTGGTGGACAGATGAGAGATCGGAGAGCAGACCTCGGATGTTTGAGAGGTGCACTTTAAGTGAAAGGACGTGCATCCGCTGTTTAGTCTTCCTCAATTTCCTTGACCTTTTCATATTAGGGGTGGAGTGAAAGGGGAGAGCGAAGGCAGTTGTACGAGACACTACACTGAAAGTCAAGCGGCGCGTACCCTATAAGGTACGCCGATGGGAAACTAGATTGGAGCGCGGGGGGACGCTCGAATCCCCCCGGGAGTGGCCACCGGGTCCTTCCATCCAGTCGCCATCCGGCACGATGGAGCACCCCGGGATTTTTCGCGAATTGGCGGGACAGCCTTTCACTGGACGTTAATCAGCTAATTGGACCCCCTACTACCTGCTGTCGGCCAGCGTAGCTCCGTGCTTCAGATCCCGGTACCATCCGGGTCTAGGTTCCCAGCGCAACAACAAGGAAGCCCCGAGATCAACCAAATCTGTGCAGTACAACTGTACAGACCCTTCACTCTAGAGCGACTACTCTGGGCGTCAAGCCGGAACACAGCCATAGGTGTTTGGCGGCTAGGCTTCGCCCAGAGGGTGGTCACCAGTCACCAGTCACGACCAAAGTCTACCACCGGAATTTGTAGCTTTCAATTTATCACTAATTGCATGTGGCACTCTTATAGGGTTTATTACAGGCTGTGCAGTCTCTCTGAACTTAATCTTATACTTTCCTATACTTCTAAGCCTTTAAAAACATCAATATTATCTTTCACAGACTATTCATTATCTGGACTTAACTCCCCCTCGATTCTCCTCACTAAATTAAGCCTCATACATTCTTGTACATCTACGTCAATGACAGACAAACGAAAACATAAAGAGTTACAAAGTTTTCAAATGGCCAAGGAAATATTTACAGAAAAAAAGATCACATTCCTTATACTTGAATAAAACCTAGACGTAGTATTTTTATGTTTCAGATATATTTGAGACTAAACTTCCACCACAGATTCAACAGCAGTTGATGCAGGACCTAGTTTATATGGCTACCGATGCTGCATTTGATGTGCCACCACAGGTAGTTATAATTTAACATGTTGTTATTGTTCAGTGACTACACTTGGTAATTATGACTTTAACATTCCTTTATTGTATAATATTGTTGACTAGTGGTAAATTTATGTATGTGATAAGTATATTGTAATTATTCTTTACCTAAATACAAAAAACAAACAAATACTGAAGGGTTAAATTAAATAATGACCTTCTTAACATTTTATTGTAACTTCTTTATATTCTGTTTGAGATGCATACTGTTATGCAAAGCTAAAATTTTAAAATTTTTCAGGAAATACCACCAGAATTGCTTGCAAAACCACAAGTGCAATTTGCATTGACTCTTTATCACAGATGGATTCTCAGATTCCCCGTCAAGGCTGCACTTTATGCGAAATCAACTAAAATGCATTATATTCTTATGTATGTATATACCACCTGACATTCTGTCTCTTTGAAGCAGTTTTACTCTGCTTGATTAGCCATTACTCTTGTAATAAGAATGTTCTCTGTCCCCATTTGTTTAAAAGTTCTGGAAATATTGTATGCAACATAAGTAAAATGTAGTAAAATCTCCTGATGTTAAAGGCCATAACATAATTCTTCTCTACATATACGATACTAATCCTGTTCTTGAGACTTAGAGATTGCAGCAAGCTCATTTTTTTATTTTACAGGCCAGGTATGCAACCTGATAATGGTTATAATCCATTGAACCAAAACTTCGAAAAGATTCTTCACATGACTGAAGCTGCTCGTATACAAAGCATCAGGTTCCTAGAGGATATTCTATCTCAATATGAACAGCCATTAGGCAAACCAAGGAAGGACCCAAAGAAAATCAAAGTTCCTGTTATGGAAGCCTTTGTTCATCTTACAGAGGACTGTAATGACATGAATCATGATTGGGAAGCAGGTGATGTTGTAATTAGTCAATACGAACTTGCAATGCAAATCCATTATGATTTCTGCTACAATTACTTCTTTTATGCCCAACACGATTTTGCTAAGAAACACATTCTTGGGTGCAGGGAGAATTCCAATAAATTAGAAAAAGATATATCTTTTTATTATAATTCTTATAAAGAAATGCCTTGGGGCAATTTCCATTATGCTAGCATGGAAAAGGATGATATATTGGGATATATCAGGGCTCTTAACCTAGGCTCTGAGGTTCTCAATGAAGAGCCTTCCCTGCTACAAAAACTGCAAGAATCTATTGCAAACCATTACACCGGTATCATTGCAGTGTTACAAGCAGATAATTTGACGAGAGAAATACCAATGATACATAGACAAGTTGTTGAGTTGGATATTCAAGGATCCGCTTCTAGTGGTGCTTTCACTGTCGCTAGGGATCTTCTTAGCAGAGTGTCGGCTCTGAACGCCGTAAGATATGCTCTTGAAGGGGGTATACCTTCTACACATCCCGAGTTTCTGAATAAATTCAAGACTGTAGGAATTAAATTTTTTGATCTCCTTTTCTGGGCTCTTGCACCAGTTTTGATGTCAGACTTGTCGGAAAACGACTGGAACAATCTTAGAATGTTTTTCCTGCACTTGGCTACATCTCAATGTAGAGTACCTATTGACAGAATTGACGAGTACTTGAAGAAACATGTAGGTGAAAATGCAGATAAAATCCGTAAGAAGTTGATATCTGATGAATATTTGAACAAAATCCTTAATGATCCCATTAACAGCGATGATGAGAATATGGATATACCTCGAGAACTTTTGACTGATGAATGGGAATCACCGGATTTTGACTTGAAGACTGTACCGGAATTAGAAATGGGACGGCTTAAAAAACGTCTAATTGAAGCGTCTACAGCTGATGACGTACGTATGTGCCTTGTCAAGCTTGCTATGATGTCCCCATCGTCGCCGTTATGGAAGATAAATCCATCTTGGAAACCTGCAGGGGAACTAGCAAACGCCTTAGTCGCTCTACCAAGAGGATTCTTGCAGGATTTTGTCTACATTGTCTCTGGGGCGGCCAGAGCTCGTGCAGAAGCAGGTTGTGCACGTACGGCCTTAACACTATTATCAGTATTGGAAAGCGAAACACGGAACGAACTCGGTGGAGGCACAGATCCTGCCTTATACAGATTATGTCGTCTTTTAACCTGGGAAGTATTGTTATTACAAGTCAATGTGATGTTGAGCGAATGGCCACATCATCGATTAAATTTGACCGCTTTGGCGAACAAGTGTAAGGCGTGCATTGCGGCTGCAACTTCAGCAGATGGCATCGTCCCTCGACCACAGGTAAGCTTGCTTTTATAGTACATCTTGCGTAAACAGAGTATAATATACTTTAGAATCATTAGATAGTACGAATCTAATCACCGAAGTACATTCGGTATACCAATCAACACCACCAGCTTACATTGTTGTTAAGTGACGAAATTTAGTATTGGCTTAAAATTAAGTTGATTGTTCTTAGTAAAAACTCCAACATATTAAAATTCCTTTATCATTTTTTTGTAGAATGCATAAGATTGTTCTCCGAACCAACGTTCTGTTATGGGATCAAATATCTTGGGACACAGACTGTACTTTAATAGACAATACTAACGCTTTTTTATTAAATTGCCGAATAGTATCAAGAAAACAAAGCACTTGTAAAAGAGCCAACAATCTAAACCACTATTTCCAAAGATTTCAATAGTCAATTTATTAACTATAGTAATTTTTTTGCAAATGACTACTTTTAAATAAATTGGCTACAATTTAATAATGTTTCAGATAATAGAAGCCTGTTGGATATGCCTAGTGAACGCGTGTGAGTGGGACAACGTGACGCACACTGGTGGGCCAGGCGAGGCCGCTGCTGCTTTAGGTGCGGCTTGCTTTGAACTACAACGCGGGAAGGGCACTAGGAAATTCCCAAGAGTCTTGTGGGACTATGGTACGCTTATTTGAATTTACACTTATAACTGTTTCAATTGCACAAAAATTCCTAGCGAAATTAATTTACATTAAAAAAAACACGAATTTTTTTGAATACTTTTTCTTTTAAAATTGAAAATTAAAATTAATGTACAAATAGAGAAAGGTCACCCGTGCTCAGGAGTGGGACGTATAAATATATTGATAATGATGATGATGATATTTATACATGTGTTAATAACAATTTAATTGTGCCCATAAAGCTCATAAAGATGCCACAGTATCATTGCTGGTACAAGGTTATTTAACCCATTCGTGGACAGTAACAGCGTTTACAGTAAAATTAAATATTAGAATAATAATAATAATAATAATAATAACGCACACACTCAACATAGCCCCGCACTAGGGAAACCCTGTGTCGCGGGTGCCATGGACACACACACATAGACAACCACAAATTACATCCAAACTCACGAGAGAAATAAATGTAGGTCATACAAATATTTCGCCCGGCCCGGGAATCGAACCTGGGACCTCTGCGTGGCAGTCCGGCATGGTAACCGTTCGGCCACGGAGGCAGTTAAAATTAGAATGTTAGAATGATAGTACAGGGTTACCCCATTTCGCTAAATGGATCTCAAAAAAAAAACAAGAATGGGCTTTAGCGCGGGATACGACCAGTGTTAGAAGAAACAAACGGTTTAGAAACAATTTTCCCTAATTTCTTGTAGCCTTACTGGTGGAAAAAGACAGTGGAGATAGATAGTAATCAGAAATGGAATGAACGAGTGAGTGAAGTAATTGTATGAACTTAAGGGTTCACGCCTAGAATTCATAGTTCGTTTAAAATATGAAGAGATGACTTTCTAATTCATTGCTTTTCTAGTATTTTTTATTTATTGAATAAAGGTGATAAAAATACTGTCTTCCGAACAAAGTTTCTGTTTCTATTTAACGAAAGCAAATTTATAGAAGGGTAGGTATTACAAATTACTTGATATACAAATATTTAACTATAGTTTATTAATATTATTGCACTATTAGCTTGTTGTACAATTGCCTTGTGTTTTGTTACTCAAAGTATCGTTTCGTAAAAGTCGTATAATTGTGCGCGTTCGACCTTTAGGTATACTGAGAAACAAACAAAATATCATTTTTAATAGTATTACGTATTAATAGTATTATGGTTACACTTTGCGTTAAAACGTTACAACGAATAAACTTAAATTAAAATCACTTTTGTCTAGTAACTTCAGAAAGGTTAACTCCTAATATTATGGGCAAATGAAAATTGATTTACTGGCAACATTGATGTTTAAAATAAATTTATTTCATTTTTATTTACGACAATTTAAACAAACAAAAGCAAACTTACCTGTGGAAAGTAACCTCAGTAGTTCTATGATCATTTTCGAACCGAGAATTGCAAATTTTAATTACATATTTCACCATTTTTGATATTTTTCTGTCACGTCTCGGTGACATTGTACTCACTCGAATTCAAGATGGTGACTGATGTCACTGTTGCCTGTGGACAACAGTGCCGTCGGTACCGTTTGAAGGCGCAGATTGCGCATCTATTATTTACAAGTATCTTTGCTTGTGCGTGTGTGAAGTCCGATTCAAATTCGGGAAAATAAGAATATTGTTTGTATGTACATCTAGAGATAAAATGACACTTCGGACCCCTGAGAGCCTAATATGGGCTCTTATTTCCACGCAGTTTACGCCAAAAGTAAACTGCCTTGTAATTTCGTCTTATGAACTGGTAATACCAGCCATTCAGCGGTCAAGTGACACTAGGCTGTCTTCTGCCCGAAGTTTGGTACGCAATATCGTATTACACACGTTACTTTGACATTTTGTTCACGGTTGATCTGTCAAAAAGTAACAGCATTATGGTCTATCCACACATATCCGGGCCGTGCCCGGGACGTGGACGGGCCGTGCTCCGTCAGGGGCTCAAAAAAATATCGTTGCGTATATTTTATATGAACTCATCCGGTCCGGACACAGACATGTGTCCGCCAGGACGGGCCCGCAGTTCATACAAATTAGCACGCCCCGGTCACGTCCCGGGCACGGTCCTGATGAGTGTGGATAGTCCTTTATACCATTCAGTTTACACTGTCTTGGTGTAGCTTTTATTGAATTGTTTTGTGCATAACTGTTTAATAATTATTATAACTTTGAGTTTATATATTTTTAGGCAATCGTTTCGTCATGTGTGATGAATACGAAATGTTTGAGTGTTTCGAAAGTGATGCTTCACACGATAATAATATGGAAAAATCCAAAGAAGACAACTGCGACATCGCAGTGATCCGTTTGAAATGGATGCACAACAATTTAGGAAAAGATACCGGCTCAGCAAAGAATGGTCCACAATCTTTGCGATGAACTTAAACCGCAAATATCGAGGCCTACAAAATCCACCGATTTATTGGTTGAGACTAAGGTTATTTTACACTAAAGCCAAGTATAATTTCTTACATTTTAATTTATAGTCAAATATTCTTAAAATATTATTGACATGTTTTCAACAAACTACACAGTAAACATTTACCCGCGGAATTTCGTGGACGTTTGACGTCGTCGTTCGGAAACTGAGTTTGCGCTTTTCTTTTATTTACAAAACTTAAAATATGGTGTATTGATTTTATTTATATAGTGTCAATTATTATATTGTGTCTTTATTTATTTTCGTACATGTATATGTATATATGTATCTATTATCTATGTGTATATGTATCTATTATTTTTCTCTTAATACAAGTGACAAATATAACATCGTAATATTCATCCATGTTTTTGAATGTTACACTAAAAAGCACGGTCTAGTCAAGTCCCAGTCATAGACAAAATAACCAGCGAGAAGTGAGCGAAAAATATGTATGTCGTAATACGAATTTTATCCAGTCAGTTTTTGGGCGTAAAAAGAATTGCCTGGAACTTGCATGGTTTTTTTTAAAGTTCATAATATGCTCCCTGTGACATTTCGGGCCGTGGTTTCCCGAATTCGGAACTGATACGAATCGGATGTAGTGGAAATTGCACTGTATGCGTTTGGCTCTTATAGTGCAATTTCCAAATGCCATCTTTACTGCTTTTCCATAAAGAAGTATCGACAACATGCTGGCAAAATTCAATGATTTACATCATCATCATCATCATCATATCAGCCGGAAGACGTCCACTGCTGAACATAAGCCTCCCCCAAAGATTTCCAGGCCAGCCGATCAGACGCGATGATTTACATACGTTGAACATTTTATATTGATTTATACATGATTTTATACAGTCTGTCGTTATTGGAATTTGCCATGGAAAGCTAATACAAATTCTCTCTTTGTTGCAGCGTTATCGGTATTCATAATAACGTCAAACGCTCCCGTAAAACGCAACGCCAGTGGCATGCCATCTCACTCTCGCGAGGCATCAAACGCGGCTGCGGAAGCGAGAAGCAGCTTCAATTTATTTCTCGCCTCTTTGCGCGAACCACTGGCCATCAGTGTTATGTTCTCTTTACTAGCCAAGATACATAATTTGTTAATTGACGATAATTCACTAGAGCTAGTAGTGGAGTATACCAGCCTTTGGCCTGCGAGTATATCGAATTTGAACTCATATAATGTGAAATACGTGCTGGAGTCGTTGACTGATTTGTTAGAGAGGAGTTTGAAACTGTATCCCTATAACACGTCTTGGTGAGTTAATTTTACGAACTTAGTATTATCACTGACCAACAACCCAAGAAGACTGCTAATAACGGTACAAGACAGCGTAGTCGGGTATATAGTACTTTCTGGTACACCAGATGTTATGACGAGTACCAAATAGCTTTTTTTGTAACTAATTTGTTTTATATTGACAAGCTGCAATAAACTGCCTCCGTTGCCGATCGGTTACCATGCCGGACTGCCGCGCAGAGGTCTCAGGTTCGAGGCCCGGGCCGGGAGAAATATTTGTATGGCGTACATTTATTTCTCTAGTGAGTTTGGGTGTAATTTATTGGATATAATTTCTAGTGATAGCAAACAAATCACACAGTGCCAGTTTTTTTTATTTTGTTTAGGATTCCATATTAGGAAGCGTTAATTTATGAATTAGATTGTAACACACAATGCCATCTATTGACACGCATATTTGTCAAAGTTAAAAAAATAACTTTAGGTCATGGTCAGTATTAGAATAATATTTATTACAAAGAAAAAACTGGACTTTTTTATTTCATATTAAAGAGGAATTCATTGATATCCACGACCATTTACATAATATAAAATACTTCCAGAGATCAGCGTCATCTTGATATAAGACGGAATCTTGACCTTTTTCAGAGTTAGGGCGCGTTCAAATTAGCCGCTCTTAGACGCGCTGCAGCAGCGCGACTGTCGCGCGACTGCCGCGCGACTGCCGCGCGATTGCAGCGCTTCTAGAAATTGTTTGAAATTTGACTGTTCCGGGCTAATTTGAACGCGCCCTTACGATCTGTATTATGTAGTTAAGCAGTCTTCTTGAGCTGTTGGTCCATTGTATTATTGTTAAGTTGGTAATGATCTTTGATATGAGTGTCCCTGTTAGGTAGTCGTTGGTTAGAGTTCATCATTGTTTCGTATAAAAATCATAACATTATTTAGGCTATTGGATGGTATCCGGCAATTGTTAGGCTTTTTATATTTGACCAAGTTTTGTTTAATATTTGAATGTATAGCCATTGCGATAAAAGGATGATTAATAATAAATAAGACAGATATGTTCAGTTCTATTGTTGTATTATTACAATTTTAGATTATTTTTTTTATGAATTATCTTGAAAGCGTGGTTTTACATTTAAAAAAATATATTAAAAGTAAAACATAAAAAACTTAAAAATGTAGGGTGTCCGGCTAAATTGACTGGTCTGTCTGTCTATTCGATTTTAAGACCTACCAATATTGCATAAGGTGGTAACACGCCGATTTTGTTGGTAGTACTTTATAATCACCTGTATCTAATCTAACCATATTAATCTTAACCATTTTTTTTTATTTTTAATCTATAAATTTCCACCAGGCTGCGGCTTTATGGTGACGTCGAAATGGCATGTAGCCGCTGGGGGGCAGCACTGCGCCGCTACCTGTGCGCGCTAGCAGCTAACTCGTGGCACTTTGCAAAACGAGCGCCAGACGAGGGCAGCATAGCTCGCCGAGCGGCTCGATGCTGCCAAGCACTTGGTGCGCCTACACAGGCTGCTGCTTTATGCCAGCTCCCCGACGAACCGGATTACACTACTGCTTTCAAATGTCTTGCAGAAAAGGTACATAGGTATAAATTGTTATATTTGCATCCAATGACACTTCGTAACCTTTGATATAATAAACCCACATGTAATCATACGTTAGTAGCAGTTGAGCTCCATGTAAAAAGTACGTCTGAGGAAGCCACTGCCAGAGGTATGGACCTATTTCTGCCGCCAAACAGTAATGTGACTATTACTGCGTTCCGGTTTTGATGGGTAAGAAGGGTGCTAGTGAAATTACAGGCACATGAGACTTGTCAACTTAGTCTCAGTGCGATGGGCGCAGTGGCAGTGCCCGTCAGATCTTTGCGATTTGAAGCTCTGGGTGGATGCGAAGGTCCCGGGCTCGATTCCCGGTAGAATTAATTTGAGAAATGAACTTTTTTAAATAGGTTCTTGTCTTTTTCTGAATAGGTTCTTGTCCGATACTCTGGTACGGGGTCAAGAGCACATCAAGCTTCACACCTAAGATTTAAATCCAACTCTAAGCCGCTTACGATAAGAATGGTCCAAAATACAAAGTGTCAAGTCTGATGTGCTATTGACTGTACTTATAGTACAAGGAATTTCCTAGTTTGAGAGCATGCCATTGGTGTGGTTGTCTGTAACGAACAATACGAACTACGTGAAACAAATAAAATTCTATGTGCGAAATATTATAGCTCACCTGTTTTTTTTATAATTTCAAGCATATAAAAGTTATCTTGTAATTTCGTTGGTATAATCTTTAAACGTCACTCCTGAAAAGTTGACATTTTGCATATGTAGCTTTATTAGACAAAGGATGCGACTTGTTTGATTGATTATTAACCTACTTGAAAAAAGGAGGTTCTCAATTGACTCGACTGTATTTTTTATTTCTATATGTATATTACGCGATTAGGTACTCTGGCATTGGTGAACCGAGTTCGATGATTATTTTTTGTTGGAATTCCACGATCTTTTGAGGTCACTTTGTTTTCGTATTTAAAATTACCCGTTCCATTCTTTGTTATAGACCGGTAACGCAGCTGACTCGATGGACGCATACTACGGTTCTCTATGGGATGGTACTCTTCTCGAAGTGGCAGTAGCTCTGCATGCAAGAAGGGGTGAAGGCGGTCGTCGATCCCGCGCGGTCAAAGCCGCGGGGGCATTGGAACTTAATGCTAATAACAGTGAAGATATTCAGCGAGAAGCGGCTGCGACGAGACGGGCGAGATTATTGAGAGCGCTTACAAATGAATATGTTGCTTAATTTGCACATCATTAAATAATGAAATCAACTTACCTTCTGAAATTCCCGTCAAAAAGGACTTTTGCATGACATATGTGATTTTAGTCGATTTATGTAAGAGTAAATAATAAATAGTTTTAACATGGCAAAGATTTTATTTTATTATTTGAACTTATGCAATAAGCATTTTAATACATATAATAAACGAGTAACAAAATGACACTTTTCTTAGCAACAATATAATAGGCATAACATACAGAATCATTGAACTAATCCATTATAATTCGTGTAACAATAGACTAAAAGTGACTCAATAACATACATATTATATCAAAAACCATGTAGAACCTATAGTAGTTATTTTATAATATTATAAACAAACTACATAGCATGAATACATTTTTCGCCAAAAAATCTTTTTATTACAAATTAATAACCCATATTTACATGAATCGCACATTAGTTGCACTATTTAGTACTAAAATAATAAAAATACATTAGTTCAAATAGTCGTTTGGATGTTTTACGTTGCACCCATTGACTTGTTGCACCCATTAATTTAATAGAATAAAATTTATAGATGGCTGCCACTTTCAAAATACTGCAAAATATTTTTATTATACAGATGACCTACGGCTCTGAGGCATGGTCACTTACTATGGGCCTCATAAAAAAGCTCAAAGTCACTCAACGAGCTATGGAGCGAGCAATGATCGGCATTTCTCTACGTGGTCGAATCAGAAATGAGATCCGTAGAAGAACGAAAGTCTCCGACATAGCTCGAAGGATTAGCAATTTGAAGTGGCAGTGGGCAGGGCACATAGCTCGTAGAACTGACGGCCGTTGGGGCAGAAAGGTTCTTGAATGGAGACCACGAACCGGAAGGCGTTCAGTGGGACGGCCCCCTACTAGATGGACGGATGGCCTGGTAAAGGCGGCGGGTAACCGATGGATGCACGTTGCGTCCGATCGGCTGGTCTGGAAATCTTTGGGATAGGCCTATGTTCAGCAGTGGACGTCTTCCAGCTGACATGATGATTAATACGACTGCGAAAATAGCTAGACATAATATGTAACTTCTTAAAATGATCATGTTTTCTTCTTATTTTATATTAAAAAGAGTTGGGCAAAAATATCTAATATTTGTAATATTTACTTATTTGATATCATGATTTTTTAAGTATCATGACATTTATATATTTCTTGTGATAATACTCCAGTATTATATAGAAAGATTATTTTCTCGCTGCAGGGGGCCTACTCGCGTTCTCCGTCCAAAACATTTACTATCAAATAAGTAATACTCGGCCGAATTAAAAGAAGACAATGCGAATGAAGCTTCGTACTTGATATTGTCTTCTGTTGGTCGAGCATTTAAAAGAAGAAGAAGAAGAGTATTATTTATTTGACAGTAATTACTATATATAGCGGGAGTAGACCCCCTGACTCGGCCATAAATTATCGGAGAGGGACAGCGATATTGCGCACCCTTATTTTTATGTAGTTTGGTATTGTCATTGATACAAAGAGCGAACCGCACAACGAAAATTTCCTTCGGTCTGTCTGTCTGATGAGTTTGTTATTTATTTGTAAACAGGTGACAAAATGGATGCTGAACCTCTGAGACTAAAGGCCACAGCATTCCTGAACTATAATCAATACTCAAATCGGGGCAGTTTGCGGCTTATTTTTTTCAGCTCCGTTGGTTCCTAAATGGTAGCTACTCAACTGTAAAATCTTGTCTTGATTGTTGTTTACATCTGTGTTTACGTGAGTGAGGTTTTGGTTGTGCTTGAGTACTTATTATTAAGTTTGGATAGATAAATCCAATAGCCGATATTGTGGAGTATATACGGATGAAAGCCAATGCTACCCTGAGGGTCGAGCAGTTGGGGTCCCGCCACAATGTAAATTTTAATTTATTTGTGGTGAGAGTACCAACTCAACATCTGTCGACCTTCATGAAGAATGAGTTTTGGACGAAGGGTGTCATGTACCGAAGTTTCCGAGGCAGGCTATCGGACACCCACGTTGCGAAGCACATCGCAGACAATACGTGTAAATAATAATTAGTTTAATAACTAACTAATGTGTTTTCATTGTATTATTACGTATATTAGTCATAAGTCAATGATGTTAGTCTATAGGGTATGTATTTATGGGTCTTTGTAACCTGAATACAAATAAATAATTAAAATAAATAAGTACATTCCAGAATATTGATCCTGTGCTATCGACATATGATGATGATGATGATGAATACAAGACCCACAGACCACATAAGACCCGCACAATATGGAGAAACATAAATTTAGGCGCCGCCGCGTTGCGCAAACGTGTGTCTTATGTCGGATACAAGCCAGCAGCAACTAGAAGTAAACATTCTATAGAAAATTGAGCCATAGGGACGCGCGAAACGCGCAATGGCCGCGTCGGCGCAAGCACAAGCAGTGCGGGGAAGTGAGGAATCCATGTTTCTGTTCCGCTGTCACCCGCCGCCGTTATATAGCAAGACTGATGGCAGTTTTCAGTCACATATTCCGCGCGGATCATCTGCGCAGTCCATAAGCGCAATTATAACACAAGCCTAAATAGAATATAAAAATACAAGCATTTTTTTTAATTAGCGCGATTCATTTTTACTTCTTATAAGTGCCAAGATATTTTTGACAAGAAGGACAATAGTGGTCAGAGTTCTTCGTCGATTCCATGCAGTATGGGATGCAACAGCAACAACTGAAAATGATATGTAGTTTTAGGCCACTCATTAGAGTAAGTACCACTGGTGGGAAGGAGTTTAATTAATTATTAATACAATGATTGAACACAAACAAAAATTCCTTCGATCTAACAGGACTCCCTGCATCTGGGGCAACCGCTGTTCTGAGCTAGCAGCAGATTTGTTACAGATCTGTTTATTTTTAAGGCCGTTTTTATGCCGTAGCGCTACCTGAGAGAAATCTGTGAAAGTTTTTCTTCTCTCGACCAGGTACCTTTCTGCTCTGGCCACACGGAAGCGGGAGCGTGAGCCTTCCAGTCGCGAGAATTTTTGTAATGTTTGAGTTCTTGTTAACCCTGCCACATTGAAACCGTCGGCGGCGGGGCGGGCGCGGTCCGGGGCCGAACGCTGTTACGACTGACTATGACAAACAGGCGGACCGGGTGCGAGCCGGGCTGATTGTATTCCAATGAGTTCTTTTGCAACCGTCCACACACAGTGGTAACAGCGGGGCGCGGTTAGGAGCTTGGACGTTGTATTTTTTTACAACTCTTGAGTATGTTATAATTCAGTTGGAATATGAATTGGACCGAAATTTCTTTTGCCTTACTTCCGTAGCGCTAATAAAAGCAGAAAATGTTCTTGATTTTTATCCGACAGCGATGTGGTGCTATCTTTATAATATGTGTAGAAAATGAAACTTGACTGCGTGGGTGCCACACTATGGGTGCCGCTATTCTGCCGCGAACTACGCTTGGAACTGCTGTGTGGCATGCCCCGGTACGCATTTGCTTCCCGCATGTTCGCCCCCGGACCACTTTTCCCGCTGCATCGCTGTGTGGCCTGAGCTACATCTACTCTTAGCCTGACAAGAGGTGTCGCTTTATGAATTGTAATGTTAATTTTATTGAATACTACGATGTTTTACTATCATGATATTCATTTATTATTATAAAGTTTTATCACAAAAAAAATGATATTTTTTATGTGAAATTTACTCCACTAGTTTGTTATAATTATTAATACACAGAAAAAATTCCTTCGATCCGGCCGGATTCGAACCGACGGTTTCTAGCATACTGTGTCAGACACTATACCAACTAAGCCACGGAACGAACCAGCAGACCTCACGATTTTTTCTGTGTTTGTTGTCATGTCTTTATTTCGTCGTGTATTTGGTTTTCAAAGTTTTTTGGTACTTGGTTTGGCTAAAAAGTCGTTGAAAAACCAAATACAAAAGCACGACAACAAGCACGTAGAAAAATTCGAGTGTTCAATCTGTGTATTAATAATTACAACAAACTAGTGGAAAAAAATTTTAGCTTTAGGACGTCGCGCTGCCAAGCACGAACGTCACGTCCCTAAGTAAATTCTGCAACACTTACATAATATACACGTAAATTTTTTCACGTCGTTTCTCTTCACTGTTACAACGAGACCTAAAAATCGGTGTACTTAAATAACAAAATTATTTTTTATTATATTCTTAAAAAGCCCAATTAAACTAAAGGAATTAAGTTTATTTTGACAGATTTTAAGAATATTCGACGGCCTCCGTTGTCGTGTTGCTTGCACTGCGGTTTTCAATTCAAGATGTCGCTATCTCTGAGGTCCCGCGGTCGATGCCCGATTGTCTCGGGTCTGGATGTTTGTGGTACACTCGTTGTTTTCGATTTTCATGACACAATTGCTTTAGTTGCTTACTTTGAAATCAGACCATCGTATGTGATGTTGTTTAATATATATTATTTATTTATTTAAATAAATGTTAGCATTTCGAAAATATCTTTATAATATTGTACATTAATACAATGTGTTGATTGCATTCTCGCCATATTTACAAGGTCATTCTACACTCGCGAGCAAAAAAATGGAATCACCCCCTTGCGCTATACAAATACAACGATTGCCAATGATACAATATTTACAGTTGAATGTTTATGATCTCGTTTGAAAGCCTATACTTTTAGCTTTAAATTGAGGGTAAACAGAAAAAAATCGGCGCCGTAGTTTTGTGCTATCAGTCATAATTTCGAACAAAACAAAGTGTTAGCTTGTTAAGTAAGGTACGAATTGGGAATATTGTCATCCGATACAAACATCCAGTGTCAGAATTTCTTTATCAGTGCATTGTTCAAAGTTGGTTGGTGGTAATCTTGAATTACCTAAAGTGCTGGAAAAAATGGACACCACGCCTGTAGAAGCTGCTCAAATTGTTACAATGCTACGACAAGGGATGAGTCAACGTGCTGTGGCTCGTCACCTTCGTTTAAGCCAGTCCTGTGTGTCAAAAATCTAGAGAAGGTTCAGGGAAACTGGAGAGTTCGTGCGAAGACCAGGATCTGGGCGGCGCCGGTGTACTTCTGAAAGAGATGACAGATTTATCGTAACGACTTCTCTCCGAAACCGTCATCTGACTGGTGTAGACGTCCAACAGGAGCTAAGACAGGTACGAGGGACAGCCGCCAGTGAATGGACAGTTAGGAGAAGACTCAAAGAAGCTAACCTTACCCCGAAACGTCCTGCTACAGGACCGAAATTAACTCCAAGGCACCGACAAGCACGATTACGATTTGCTCAGGCGCACTACGATTGGGAAGTCGAGCAATGGAGAAGAGTTATGTTCTCGGATGAGTGTAGGATGTGCCTGCACGGAAGTGATCGTAGAGGGAGAGTATACAGACGACCTGGTGAACGATTTGCTCAGTGCTGCTTTGCCGAAACCGTGGCTTATGGGGGTGGTTCGTGTATGATGTGGGCAGGCATTTCTATGGAAGGAAAAACTGGACTGGTTTTTGTGCCTAGTGGTGGTCGGGGAGGAGGCCTAACCGCGGATCGATATGTATCAGATATTCTGCAGAGTCATTCCTTATGCTGGGTTTATTGGCGAAAATTTCATGTTGATGCATGATAACGCTCGGTGCCACACTGCACGAGAAACGGTTGAGTTCCTAAGGGAAGTCGGTATCGCGACGATGGACTGGCCAGCTCTAAGCCCGGACTTGAACCCTATAGAGCATTTATGGGATGAGCTCAAACGAAGGGTTCGAGCACGAAATCCAGCTCCTGAAACAATCAATGAGCTGAAAATGGCGCTGGTAGAGGAATGGGAGGAAATACCGCAAGAAACAGTCAAAAAACTCATCAGGTCCATGAGAAACCGTTTACAAGCAGTAATAAGGGCTAGAGGAGGAAATACAAAATACTGAAACAATAACTTATGCTTGATTTTGTTTGAAATGTTCAATTTTTCAGCTAAGCTCAATTTTATTTTTCGCCCGATTTTCTTTGCTGTCTTAAATAAAGATGATTTGCTCCTGAAATACGGAAATGAATTTTTTGTTTCTACCCTTAATTTAAAGCTAAAAGTATAGGCTTTCAAACGAGACCATAAACATTTAACTGTAAATATTGTATCATTGGCAATCGTTGTATTTGTATAGCGCAAGGGGGTGAGTCCATTTTTTTGCTCGCGAGTGTATATCCAAAACTGAACCCAAATAAATAAAGCGAAAAAAAAAATCCTAAATTCTTATTTTTTATTTAATTGCGGTGCCATGCTTGATCCAAAGGTCATTGATTTGCACTACACATGTCACAGGTACCGGCAACCATTTGAATAATGACTTATGCGCAGAAAATATGCATTTTAGATCTATTTGATGGTAGGGACGGGAGGAGTATCGTTTCGAGCGCGTGATTTTTAGATCATCAGTCGACCTTGCGTATTGCGTCTACGTTCCGTTGACATCGCGCATACGTTCTAGTTTCTCACGAAATGCGACGTGGTTTGGTATGTAAAAAATAAGAGCTAGGTACTTCTAGCAGTACTTTCATGTAACCTAAAGTTGCTAAGTACCAAATCTAATTTACAAAAAATCTTTTTTTCAGTCAACTTTTCTAACTAATGTAAACAATTAGTTAATTACAACAATACCAGTACATAAACATAATTTAAAAAATAGGTAAATAAGCGATCGAGAAAGATTACGTATCGCTCGGTGAAGCGAGTGGTCACTGTCCTCCGCGGTGAATACACTTGGGGACAATTTTACAAAACTTTACTAGATAAAATTAGCCAGAATATTGAACAGAATATTTTTTAAATATATTTAGATGATTTAGAATTATTTATATTATTATTTTTTTAAATATGGCGAGATTGCAAATCAACACACTGTATTAGTAATTTGTTTGCGTAAATTTGTGTATTTTACTATACAGTAATTGTACTGTCTAGCAAAATACATTTAAATAATATTAGGAAACGGAAGTTGTGATTATTATACGCGGGCTCTAACCTGATTGATATCAAGAGGGCTTAAAAGTGGGAAACGGCACGTGCTCCACACAGATTATTACTAAAAACACGAAGGCTGTAATCATTATATGCTAATAATCATTAAAATCATCATACAAAAGAAGATTCAAATACAAACCATGCCAAAGTACAGAGAATCGCAGTAACATGTGTCCGACTCGTAACGGTATGACGCACTTCCGTCTTTACAGACGCTTTACAAAATGGACATGTCGTTACAGTGTTGTCTGGGCCCAAAAGCACAATCTGGAACGATATATGTATAAGGTCATTGACTTACCAACCAATATAAGGTGCATATGACTCATTCTGCGATAAACCGATTTTTTTTTCCGTAAATATTTAAATTCCGATTCCGATTTATTTTAATATTCACGAATGCGTTATAGATATTTATTGTGCTATTATGTAGACACGTCTATAATGTTAACCATAATGGTGTGTGAAGTTGGTATTTACTGTGTGATATAGATAAGTACCTAACGGTAGGTTTATTCCTTTAGGACCTTTTACATTAAATTTGAACAAAGTATGACTGATGTACCGATATATAGATAACACGAATGATTTAAAATATTAGAAACTAAATATAATTGGAAACACTACACTACACAAAAAAATTTTCACTAACCGGAGGTGGAACAACGACAGCTGTTGTCTGCTGCGATATTGGCCCAAAGCCAGTGCCATAATTTTCCTTTACCTGCTGTAAAAAAAAGCAATTTAAAAAAACACTGTTGCAATGACGCATGATACTGGTGTAAGTACTAGGACTTCTGTTGAATTCTGTTTGAACGTTTTTAAGTCTAATTTTCATATTCAAATTATGTATGTATGTAAATAACTACGCTGCTGTCCTTAGCATAAACAATTTATTCGATATTTTTAGCGAAACGGTTACCAAAATATCTGGAATCAGCAAAACAATATCTACAACCTGCTATAAGCGGTTTGTATATCATTTAGCATCAGTTTTTTTTTGTTAGATAATCAGCAAAATCGGCGAAACTGTTATTTTTCAAAGAAAAAGTAAGTAGAAATAAAATACGACTAACTTACGACGTACGTACATTAGACTATTATAAAAAGTAATTGCTAATTTTTAAATATTTTGCATTTTCTTTATCGGCTTCTTTTTGTTTATTGGCGGTGAATTTTAAGTATTTCGCCATTATCGATTTCTCCGCTCAGTAATCTAAAAACGTATTGTAAAAATAATACAAACAATATGGCGATCACCGTCAATGTCCACTTAAGACCTCATAATTCTATATAATCTTCCGACATCTTGTCCAAAGCGAAAAGTAATAAACAAAGGAGGTGACGCTCTTCAAAACAATCATTAACAGCGAGTGCGTCACAATAGTGGCCAATATTGTATTTATATTGGAAATAGTCAAAAGAGATTACTTTAAAGCCAGCACCCGTATATTAAATCCTATATCAAATATCAAGGATAGAGGCTCTAAACCACTGCATCATCATGCAATACTTAGGTGTAGTGTGTATAATACTTTTGATAACGGGACAAAACATTTATATGAATAATAGAATTGTAGTTGACTGCTAAGTATGTGTTAATTGTGTTGGATATACTTCAATAAGTAATCTGAGATACTACGCACTGTACGTTGTAATATGAAACTATATACTTACCAAATTCTCCTTATGATTCAGATGAAAGGATTCCTGCGGCATTTTATACCAATCGGCTATCACAAAGAACTACAATCTTAGATAAAATGACCTAATTTTTAAGGCGTTTCCCCATACAAGTAACCTTGATCATTCATCCCCTTTTTGCCGCTCCACCCCTCTACAATATTTCGTAGAAACCTACTAGCGTCATCTAGGGAGTGACGTAATCATTACAAACTTATAAATGACATACTTATACATGCAGAAGTTCTTATTTCGTTGTTCGATCTCATGGTCTTCCTGATGGTAGCTATTTTTAAAAGTAATCGAGACTCGGCATTCAAATTAATTGAAATTCGCAGATTATTCTTAAGTATTCCAAATAGTTTTTTTTATTAAAAAAGTCCCGCGTATTAATTGGATCTCACTAATATCTTGCATACGATATCATTCCTCATAAATTATAAACTAATAAGTTCATAATTTGTAATAGTTTTGTGTTTTTAAATAATTTTTAATAGAAACATCAGATATAGAAACTTGTTCTTAGTCTTTTTTAGTCAAAAACTCTTTCTTAGTATCGTATCTCTTCTAGGAGATTCTTGACGACCCCCTCTAAAAGCGACCATTTTCTAAATTGATCCAGAATATTCGTAAGTTCAGATAATGGTAATCGACTTCACATGACTTAAAATATATCTTATGTAGCTTGCCAAATGCATCTTAACAAGCAGCTCATCGACTTGAATGTTCACAATTATGTCACTATCTTCAAAGAAAAATGCCCTACTGAATAAACGCGTATATACGTTATAAAAATATTTATAGATAATGCACGTTTATTCGGTGGGGTCATTAATTTCCTTTTCAATCATACCTGTTTCCAACAAAGCAGTATGCAAGTAGCAAAAACATGCGCGGTGTAATTATATATACAAAGATAAAATCAATCATTCCAATTCAGGTCAGTAGTAACACAGATTAGGTGGAACTATTGTTTTCGCATCTTCTAATTGCCAATTTTCCCGTGTAATTCGCGAAATAGGTCAAACCCCACGTCAAAACAGAATTCGATTTTTAACTGGAACGTTATATTTTATTGAATTGTTAAAGATTGCTGGAATACAATTGGATTTAAATAAAAACCATAAAAACGAATGAGAAAGATGTAGGTAGTAGAACAGATGACATACATATCTATTAATGGAGCGTCTGTAAAGATAGTTCGTTACCTCAACACAGCACCCTGGTGGCGCTGCTGTACCGAATAATAATAGTGATGCGCGTCGCGCCTGTTTTGCTGCGTTTTGTATGCTTTGTTATAAAAATTGAACTGTTTATATCATAGTGATGACCTGTGTGATTTATATATATTTCATAGTTATGATGTCAAGTTACTAAAAAGGTTTGTAGTTACGTAAATGAAAGAGAATACCATACTTTCATTTACATATCATCTGTTTATTAGTAATGAAAGAAGCTACTGTCGTTCCGTTTGGAAGAAGAAACGTTGAGAAAAACTGTCAGCAACATATCTTTTGATTCTAAGTAGTGAATAAATATAATCGAAATCAATTTTTGAACAACTCTATCTGATCTTTTATTTTCATCCAAACAATGCTTGTCTGAGGTAATAGGAAAACATTCGAATATGCCAAATCTATAAGAGTTCATATTAAACTGTTAACCAAGCCACACCTTGCTCCAGGTCAATCTTCACATGCTCAACGTCATCACCGCAATCGTCGACATCTCACTAACTCTTTCTCTTTAGTTTGGTTTGATTTTTGGTTTCAAAATGGCCACCGTAAATTTAAAACGATTTCCTGCAAAAAAATGTCATGTATTGAAGAATAATTACAATTTAAGATGTGGCAGTTGGCCAATTAGACGCTTTGGCCTGTCCCGAGGGACGAACAATTTATCACTCTTTTTCTTTACTAATAATAATAATAAAGCACACACTCAACATAGCCCCGCACTAGGGTAACCCTGTGTCGCGGGTGCCATGGATACACACATAGACAACCACAAATTACACCCAAACTCACGAGAGAAATAAATGTAGGCCATACAAGTATTTCTCCCGACTCGGGAATCGAGACTGGGACCTCTGCGTGGCAATTCGGCATGGTAACCGTTTTGGCCACGGAGGCAGTTAATAAAAATAAATAAAGTCAATAGGTATATCTACTTTCCGAGATTACAAATATGAATGAGCCAGTGTGTTCAAGATACAGGTTTAGTACCACTATCGGGACAGGCATGTTTCAAACACAATCTATCTATTTTGTAATATTATAATTAATGAGTAAGTTAACAAAAATTATAGAAATTGTCTCGTTATTATTAAATTGACAAGATATTACATGTGTAGGTGTGAAGTAAAAACCAAATAGTAATTTTTACTACAGAGCGTTTTAAAGAGTTCTTAATTAGGCGTTTAAAATCAATATTAAGGTCAAATATATGTTATTTTTAATACTAAAACAATGTTTGTAAATTCCAAAATATAGGTCTTGTATCTCTCGCCTACAGATTAGAAATCCGACACCATAGGAGATACCATGGAAACTGTCTTAGAAAACATTAAGTTTTTTTGGAAAAACAATTACATAGTCAATTTTTGGTCCACAAAAATTAATAAAATTTAAATTTTTTTTGTGCTGAGCGACTCAGTTTCATGTAAGGATTATTTCATTGTACTGGAAGAAAAAATCGGGACAGCAGAAGTTGGTCAAATTTAATAAAACGCTTATTGACTTTGTATGAAAGAAAACTAGAAAGAAAAAAAATTAGATAATGCGAAATTATCCTCTCCTATTTAAGCATAAAAAGTTATGGATTCACCTCACTCCTGAAAAGTTGTCATTTTGCAGATGTAGCGTTATTTTTTTTACTTGTCACATGTTCACGCTAAGCTAGAGAAAAGGTAGTATAAATGATATTTATGTTTAAAATTACTCGTTCCATTCTTTGTTAAAGGCCCGTAATGCAGCTGACTCGATGGACGCATACTGCAGTACTCTCTGGGATGGTTCTCTCCTCGAAGTGGCAGTAACTCTACATGCAAGAAGGGGTGAAGGCGGCCGCTGTCGTCGGGCTCGGGTATTGGAACTTAATGCTAATAACAGTGAAGATATATAGCGACAAGCGGCGGTGACTTTGACGAGCGGGATTGTTAAAAGTGCTTACGAATGAGCACGTTGCTTAACTTGCACAAAATTGTGTAACAAAATCAATAGACCTTCTGACTCCCGTAACAAGGCACCTTTGCTTAACTTATGTGATTGTAGTCGACTTTTTTTGTAATACCAAGTGACGGGACGAACAAGTCGTGCATGTGATGGTAAGCATGGAGTACTGTTCGCACCTTTGGGACGGCTCTGCCAAGTACTTGCTCGATGCCCTAGATGGACTGCAGCGCTACGCCTTCCGTGTTGTCAACGATCCTCATGTAACTGAGCATGCGGAGTCGTTACAGCTTCGCAGAGATATAGCGTCTCTTAGCGTATTCTATCGCCTGTACCACGGTGAGTGCTCTGAAGAGTTATTCAACCTTATCCCTTCCTCTCCTTTCCATCAGCGGACCACCCGTGCCGGACTGCGTTGCCACAGATGGACGGTCAGTTCAATACCGTCCCGCACTAAAAAGTTTGGCAATTCGTTCTTATGCCGAACCATCAAATTGTGGAACCAACTCCCGGCGCATGTATTCCCTCCCCTCTATAACATCGGGTCCTTCAAACGTAGTGTGAAGAAGCATTTGGCCAGACCGGCAAAATGATAGTGACGGAGTGAAGATATTTGTGTTTTCCATCCGTTACTCTCATCTCTGGACTGTATTCGCACTTTCCATCAGGCGCGGTGCAGTCATTTTGCCGAGTCACAATAAAAAAAAAAAAAAAAAAAAAAGCTTTACGCCTGTCCATAACAGTTGCAGTACCACTCAGTGCTTTAAATCACAAAGATCTGAGGCTGCCACTGCTCCCGTCGCCCTGAGACATAAGTTGACAAGTCCCATGTGTCTGTAATTTCACCAACGCCCTTGTCATTCAAAACTGGAACATAGTAATGCTTATATTACTGCTTGCCGTCAGATATTGGTAAGGTAACTTCCCTGGACGAACTCTTTCACAAGAAGCTCTACTGCTACTATACTTACTTAACTTATGTAAGTCTAAATAATAGACAATTTTAAGATGGCAAACACTTTATTTCTTAATATGAACTTAGTCAATAAACACCTTAATTTAATATGGAAATAGCAATATGATAACTTTCTTAGTAGAGATGGGAAAAATGGCTTATTCTTTAAACGTTAAAACGTTGTGCTTTTTTCAAAAAAGTGTGCTTTTCTAAACGCTTTTCACTTAAACACTTCTTAGGGTCGTATTCTAGAACTCTACTCAATGCTCAAGTCAGGACTTGAGCAGAGTTGAGTATGATTTCAAGCACTTTAAATACGACACTAATGTTGCCATTTTCGGACTTGAATATGATTTTCAGTGCTCACTGCAGTACTCAAGTCCTGACTTGAGCATTGAGTAGAGTTCTGAAATACGACCCTTAGTTTGACTCGTACAAAATCGTTTAGAAAAACGTTTAAGCGCATAGACAATTATGTTAAAAAAAAGCTTGCAACATTACCAACAATAGCGAAAAGCAAGAGTAGACCACTAAAGGTTTTAAGATAAGTAAATTTATTTGTAATACACTAATTTTACTTTTATTGATAAAATTATTATTCACATTGACGAATTCATTTGTTTATGAAACATAGATGGCGGGTCTTGAAACATACGCACGTTGTTAATACATACGCTTAAATTGAAAAGCGTGTTTATGTGCTTATTTTAAAAAGCAAACATTTTATATGATTTTCGTTTAAACACCCACCACTATTTCTTAGTAATAAACTTGCTTTTTCGTGTAAATTAAATCATGGCGATAGATTTCAAAAAGATGAGTGCAAAATCATACAATTACTTTATTGACAAAATCATGTACTCGTATACTTATAACAATTTCAGACATATCAGCATTACTAATAAGCATTTTTCAGCAAAAAACAAAGCAAATCTTTTATCAATAATTAAGTAACCATTACTTACATTAATGGCACAATCATATATTAATTTGCTACTAAAATAATAAAACTATTTTTTCGAATTGTCATTTTGATGTTTACCGTTCCAACAATTGTAACGTGCTAATTTGTATTAAAATTTTACAAATGGCTGCCCCTTTAAAAATATAACGAGATCAAATTTGTAACTTGTACAACTATTCTAACTATTGTAACTTGTGCAATTTGTAGACTAATTTTTTCTTTGTTTAAATGAATATCATTTTTTATTTGTTTATAATAATTGTCTTCATTAAAGATTCTTCTCATCTTTAGATTTTAAGCATGCTAATGAAAATTAAGAATGACAGAGGAATTTTTCTTAGCTTGATATTTGGCCTATTGTATATTATATATCTTTCTACTGGATTTTAAATCATGTAACGGTCTTTGTAATAAATTTGGCTAATTGGCTTACTGCATATATCAACCTTTTTATTAATTCATTACACAGTCGCCTCTTCACCTTTTACTTTTTTTTACTGAGAAACCCATGCTTCTGGATATATTCCACAAGTAGAAATGCCGTGGGTGCATTCGTAGCATTGTTTTTTTTTTCCTTTAAAATGATCTACTAGCCCGATCTCTTTACCATTTTTCCGCAAGGCTTTGAAATTATATTTCGTCAGCTAAAAAACTTCAATGCATATTAGCAAATATTCAACATAAAAATTAAAATTTGTAAATTTGTAAGTGAGAGGTAAAGTATATCAAAATCACGCAATGGTAAAAGACATTAAATCCTACCGTCGTTTGCTTTTTATTTAACATTTTTTATTTGCCTCATTCACTTTAAAACGCTCTGTAGTAAAAATTACTATTTGGCATTAAAGTTTTTTACGTCTCACGTACAGAAATCTTGTCTAAAACTAAAAAACAAAATAGAAATTTGTATTATTTGTGTCCTTTTAAACCTTAATTCGTGATTTTGACTTGAAATCTTGGTATACGATAATGTAATCATTCACTGTCTTTGAGATCTAAAAGCAAACAACATACAGCAGCAGAACAACGCATTTGCATTTCGGTAACTTTCGAGAAAATCACATATAAAGGTTGTTCTTTTTTTAAAAAGTCAATTACGCTGATTTTGCTTAACAATACAGCTGAAATAAAATAAATCCGTATAAAGCGGGTTGTAGATCTCGTTTCACTTGTTCCAGATATGTTGATAACTGATTTTCGTATTTATTCACGTTTTTTTTGTGAAATAACTCCACTAGTTTTGTTGTGATTATGAATACAAAGTTCGAACTGGATATGAGCGCCGATAATTGACCAACCGGCGGCGGCGGCGTTTTGGTGTTTATTTTTACAAAAACCGTCATACAAATACCTTTTCAAAGGAAAAAATAAAATAACGTGTTTTCTATAGTAATCAAATTTTTATCAGCACGCGCACGCTTCCGTATTGTGTATGCGTAGTGAAAATGGCGACGTCGGAAATTGACAAATTAATGTTTTAAACAAAACATCTTCGGATATAAAGTCACAAGTGTTATCTTAGAAATGTGAATTTCTGGAAAAAATATACGAAAGCGTGCGCGTGCGTACGATTGGAGCGCCTGATCGAACGAACTTGAACAGAACTTAACGGCGCGCCGATTGCATTTGACGGCGGCGGCGCGGCGCGGGGCGCCGACAAACGCGGCGCTCATATCCAGTTCGAACACACAGAAACATTTTTTTTTTCGTCGTGCCGGTGGGACATAGAGATATGGATAGATAGAGTATTTGAATAAAAGTTACGTAATAATCAAACCAGCTTAAATTTCCATGAGTACACTCGTGTACTCGTGTGAGATGCGACATTGATAATAATATCCATATATCCGCGTAAGAGAGATGGTATCTAAAATTTTCCTGATGACTTATGTAGTAGAATGATAAACAATGACTTTAGTTAAGCTAACAATATTATCCTGCTGACTAGTCGTGACACAGTGACTGATATGACAAAGTCTATTAATACATAATAAGTATGCAAGTTTATTAACTCAAAATCTCTTTTACAGCAAGCAGTGCAAGGGAAACGATTTACAAAAACAACTTTAACACTTAAGGTGAGTATCCATTAGATTCTCGCAACAACTGTGCTCCGCGTATTTTTCATTTCGCGCATTCCCATTATGTCGTAACGTTTTATTTATCGTTGGACGACTGTCGCGTCTAGCCTGTTCCCATATGACGACTATCTGTCATGACTGTGTCGTGGACGTTTATTTTGTCGTTGAACGACTGTCGTGTCTAGCTGTTCCCACTAGATCGTGACGACAATTTATCTGTTCACGGCAGCCGCCTTGTCGTTTGCACGACAGAATCGTTTGAAGCTGTGACTATCTCTCGTCACATTTTTATCGTGACATTTTATTTATCGTCAGACGACTGTCGTTCTAGTTCTTCCCATTGTCACGACAGTCTATGGCCGTAACATCAAAAAAGCCGTGAACGACAGTTAATCGTATTGTTCCATATGTGAACAACTTAATTTAAATGTACAAGTCACGACACTAAACTGCACGACTATCTGTCGACACAACATAATGGGAACACGCCCTTATCCCCTTATCGGTTTTTGCTCGAACACAAAGCGGAACGCAGTGTGTTCGTGGACGCGAGCGAAGGCGAGTGAAACAGGACGTTTTAGCAGAGTCGATGCGCGAACCTAATGGAGTACTCGGTTTTTTTTTGTAGTGATGCGTGTATTGTCTTCATTTAAACGGTTACAAATACGCGGAACAGAGTTGCTGCGCAAACCTAATGGATACCCGCCTTAAGATCGAATACAAAATCTTAAATTATAACATCTAATATTTCTTTGGCCCGCGTTGTTTATGTACAGTTATTTGTAAAATACTAACTTAGCAGGACTCCTGATATCATAAACAACAACTTTGTTACTTGACTTTTTACAAATTATAATAAATTTACTAAAAATGAACTTTTGTTATTGTTGTAGAATCTAACACTTTTTGAATCTGAATTTGGTAGTACTAAATAAAACGTAATTCGCTTGTGATTGTTTATTTCACAAAGGGAAAAGACTCGATACAAAAGATTCCGCTCCTATTTATATAAATTTCTTCCCGCCAAAACCGCCAAACATCATCAAGGAATAGCTGTTTTGGCGGTATTGGCTATGACCAACAATAATACCGAAAGATGACAACAGATGGCAGATTACTAGCAAAGCCTATAGTTACGACACAGTCTATGGCATTAAAAAATATTAATTGGCAACACTGATATAAAAGTAAAACGTCATCTGCAATTCAAATTTCTCGACAATAACTAACACTCGTTAACAAAAGAAAGTGCTAGAGTAGTTTCGAATTACTACTGTTAGGTTGCAACCACGATACAATAATCATGCAACCATGATACAATATCATATGATCAATGATCGATCGATCATCGAGTATGATACAATGTACACTGTAGTATGCAAAATACGAATCATGGTTCCAAACGAACAGTAGTAACTCGTAATTACTCTAACGCTTTCTTTTGTTAACGTCCAAAAGTAAAATCTGAAGAATTATTTAAGGGATGGAAAAAAAGTTGTTGCTTATGTTAGTAATCCTGAAAGGTTGTTAGTATATTACAAATAACCCTATATGTAAGCGGAGTGTGTGCATATCCATTGTGTGTATGGTCATAGTCCTCGTATCAGCGTTGCGATTATCAGGAGTTGACAATGAACAGATACATGTAGACAGGATATTGAGCAGTTGATACATTGTGCAAGTATATGTACAGCAGTACTTATACTGACCAGGCCAACTTGCTCTATAATTCAAGCCGTAACCTAGTCTTTACAGTACGTCAATGTGAAGAACCAATATTATCTGTCACCCCGCCGTGAGCAAGACTGATGTCGGATTTTAGACAATCCGCGCCGATTATCCGGTTATTACCCACGCGGCCATAAACGCAATTCGACGGCAGCAAAGAATGACCGGTTGTACTTGACAAATCACGATTTTACAGTGAAGCATTTTGAAAATAAAAACTTGAGAGAAAAACATTTATTTATTTATTGCTATTACAACGGGGTATGTCCGTAGAACACTTACAACATATACAGTAATAAGCAAGAACAATAATAATAATAAAACAAAAACCATGATATAGAAGACAACAATTATGAACAGATGGACTCGCATTCATTCTTCTCGCAAAGCATATACAATTATTTAAGATGTTCTTCCTCCCAATCTCATACATGTCACTACAGGATTATCAGACAAGAGTTCGTTGATTTGAGCCAGTATTCGACAGAAAAGGGTCTGATACATACTATAGAATATATACTATATTCTAAATATCCTTCAGAAATCAGCTTTTTATATTGACTAATTTCTCAAAATTTTAGCTAATTCCGTCTACTACAAAAAAAAGTTTTTTTCTTTCAAAACGCTCTACTGTAAAATCATGGTTTTGCAGATAACCGACTACTCTTTGCTGCCATTAAGTTATAACACTAGCCTAAATTTTAAAAATTACATTGGATTCTCTTACCTTATTCCTATATAAAAATGCAAGAAAAAGAATTAAATGAACGTGATGAACGTTTACTTCTCATAAGTGCCGAGATATTTTTGGCAAGCAGGACAGTAGTGGTCAGAGTTCTTCGTCGATTCCATGCAATACGGGATGCAACAGCAACAACTGAAAATTATTGATATTTTTTTTAATTTGCATTATGTCAACCTCATAAGTGTAACACACTAGCGGGAATGAGTTTCATTTCCTTATCCGCTATCGCCGTGATCGTTGCCGGGGCCTCCTCATCGACAATTGAAATGCATTTCAAATGCATGCAAAGTCCTCGTCAAAAAGAAACGAGGAATTCCTCTCATCAGTCTGTCATTTCCATCAAATCAGCTTAAGGTGACAATAGCATTTTATTATTAAAATTGATTAACGGAAATTGGGTGAAATTCAATAAATCGGATTCATCCCCTAATTCACCACCCTTAGAGGTGGAATATTTTCTTCAAATTGAAATGGAATCTCAGAGAATTTAACAATACTAACAACAAAAAAGTACCATCGAAAACAGTTCACCAATGTCGGAGTCGCTTAAGGGTGCGTACAGATCTGGCGAATGCACCCCAAATGTGCCTGTTTGCGAAAGACACGCAAGCTGCACACGTATTGCGATCTATTGGCGTGCCGTTTACGCGCCGCTGCACAGTGTCTAGTCTAGTACAAGCTAGCGGGACAAAATTATTTTTTGAGTTATTTTAATTGTTTATGTATATTGCAGGTATATTATGCTATTTTAAGCTAAAAAAAGTGGAAACCTGTATACTGTAATGTGTGTAGACCCTACAACGGTGATGGCCTCACCACCTGACACGTAAGGTCACCAATTACGCGGTGAAATGTGGGTGATAGCTCTGTAATTAGGTGCCTCTGCCTTCTTCACATGCCTGTAAGGCACGAGTGTATTATTCTTTTATTATATAAAAGTATTAGGACATAGAAAAGTTAAAAATAAATTTTAAAAATCATCAATGTTTATTACACGTTACCAATGACGTGTTCGGTAGGTATTTATTTACAATTTTTATATTTATATAATTAAATTAAATCAACGAACAATACAATAACAACAAAAATTATATTTCAGTAGTAAGTAACAATATTGACACATATAATAAATAAAAGTGCATTAAAACACCTATAGCAAAATACTCTACAACTACATATTAAAACTAGGTGTAATAATTAATTACAATAATAAACAAGACCTAATTTATCTAATTTAAATGTAAAGACATTACAAAACTATCTAATGCTCATCTTCAGATGATTCCTCATCATTACTCTCCAATTCGGTAGAGTATGACAACACGTAATCCTCCTCATCAATTTCGCGAACTGATGATACCTGGGATGGTAAGGAAGGTGGTATAATCAACTGGAGAACCTCCGCTGGCAAAGCAGTAATCTTCTTTCTCGGTAACTCTCTAAATGTGTTGATTACAGGATCGAATGTAATTAGGAGCATTCGCAAAAGATCTGTATTCGTGGCAATACGTGACCGCTTCCTAGTGTGTCGCTCACGGAATCTACGGCAATCTTTATTTCTTGCCTCCTGGACTTCTTCGTAAAGCTGACCAATAGGAAGAACGCAACGCACAGTAACGGGCATGGTGTACCACGAATACAGATCAAGGTATAATTCTCTTGTTTCAACGCAAAACTTTTCGAATTCTAAACAATTTATGTCGTATCCCGATGACAAAGTTCTTAAAATTACATGAAATCTTTTAATAAGACTTACGTCCAATCCTGTTATTTCGCTACTCAATTTAGCATTAGGAAAAAATCTACGTGCTGTGTTTCCATCATTCGAGTTGCCATAACCAGGTTTTGGTTTATCCATTATAAGACCCATACGATCTTTAAACATTTTTTGGATCTCTTGTGAGCGATGCTTTACTACAGCTTTATCGTTGTCTCCTCTGACTTGCCACTTTTTTATTTCTAAGCGATATCTAATGTGAAGCATACATTCAAAAGTGCGGATCCATGCATGAAAAGTAGATAAACCAAATTCATAGCGCTCTTTGTTGCTGAGATAGTTCCTCGACTCCTCGTTCATAGTAAACGGAGTAGCACAGCAAATATAACACTTTTGTGTTGAACGTGTGTCCGTTAAAGCGTTACACACTTTACCATCAGTCATCGTCAACAATAAGTCGTGTGTAACAAAGATTTGAGATCCATCAACGTTACATAATGTTGGAAGAAGCTGACTTATTTCATGTAAAATTCTAGTAGTTTCTTCTTTCGTACACTCATTTATCTCCTTGGCAAAAATAAACCTGATAGGACGGCAATATAAGGTTGAAGAAGGTCGTGGATTTTGCCAGATCACAGTTTCTCCTGTGACGTAGTAAGTGTAGTATACTTATTTTAGTAGTGTAATGTATTTAGAATAATTATATACATTCGTTGGTTTCACTCGTCTCCAATATCCGCGGCTACCACCGTCCCTACATAGCGACCCTGCCTTATTTGGATGCGTATCGCGCAACACAGTGCAAACCTACCAGTGAACTGTGACTGACCCATTTGAAAACGTGTGTAAACCAGCAGCTCCGAGTCCTACAACCCCAAATACTAAGGATAAACACGATATTATCACTCAAGTTGGATACAGCAATGTATTAAACCAACACGCTCATGAAGCCGTCAATGATATGAGTACTATAAGTTTAACTTTATGGCTTTTAATTGCAGCCATACTTCTGGGGATAATTTTTTTCACTATGCGGATTATTAATACCTGCCATAACAAGAAAATAACAAGAAGAGCGCGAACTATAGTGGTAGAATACCACAAAAATCAAGGAGAAGCTTAAATATACATGTGTGCGTGTAAACAGTGTTTAAAGTGAAGATGAGACAATTACGTAGTAAATAAGTGGGTGGATATTCATTAATTAATCAATAGGAGATAAGGACTTTAAGTTTACTTTTATGGTATGGAAATAATAAACAATTTACATGAATCTTTATTACAAATAAGAACTTATTTAATTAATATAGGACCAATTCGGAGAGAAGGTGAAATATAGCTTCAAAAATTTGAAGAAGCGAAAAAACTACAAAAAATTTTGTGTAGTTAAATAGACGAGATAAGCAAAGATATAGAAAGAGGATTAATAAAGGAACAGGAAATTAAAGAAAGGATTAGTAATATTAATATATTGTACAATGAAATAGAAGAATTGTGTAAAGTTACAAAAAAAAATGTAATACAGTGAAGTTTGATCTTAAGACAGCGTTAAATTTGTTGCCAGTACTAATGACCGACGATGAGACAAGCATCAAGCAATTATTTGCCGGTATTGACTATTATAATTCCATGCTGAAAGATGACGCAAGTAAAAATAATTTGGTAAAATTTGTATTGAAAAGCCGAATGTCGCAACAAGCAAAATTAAAATTAGAAACAAATTACAGTCCAGTTAACAACTTATTGGATGATATGCGATCACGACTATTACCGAAAAAAATCAGCAGCGGCTATTCAAGACAAATTGCATAAAATACAGCAAAATCATTTGTCTATTGATGATTTTGGGAGTCAAATTTCTGAATTATTCGTAGGGTTAACGATTGCGCAAGCCGACGGAGTTTCCAGCAAATATAATGTATTGAAGACGATAAACGAAAAATACGCCGTTAAGCGGTTCGCCGACGGATTGCGTAATCGTCAATTTAGCACGATAATAGCAGCTAAAAATATTAGTACATTGACAGAGGCCATCCAGGCAGCTAAAGACGAAGATACTGCGATTTCCTCAACCTCAGGCGATATTTTTAGTATGGATTATAACAGACGTGACAATTTCAGAGGCCATTGTACCAGGCGTTATCAAAGCGCACCCCATTACAACTATAACCATACTCGAGGGAATTACAGTAAGAGCAACTAGAACTACCAGCCCCAGGAGCAGAGCTACGGTGCCAGAGGATTTAGTCGTGAGACCTGGACAAGATCTCGCGGTGCACGCGGAGGACGTGGTCGACGTACAGGTAGGAATCAATTTAGTAATTACCGTAGGCGCATTGGTAATTTCCACGTGAATGTTCCAACGACACGTAATCCCGAATTAGAACAAAGAATTACAACTATTTTTTCGTGACTAATGATATCATCATGTCTTGCCAGAATTCACTTCATGTCCAATTACGTTTCAATAATCATAATCATACTTGGCTAGTGGACACGGGTGCATCCATTTCGGGCATCAAACATAAACACATTGAGGAGAATAATATTTCGTATTGTAAGGAGAGAAGTGTAATAAATGGAATTGGTGGTAGAGTAGAAGCAATTGGATATGTTTATTTATCTTTAGAGGCCGAAGGTGAAATATTTGAACACAAGTTTTACGTTTTTAATTCACTGCCATGTGAAACAAGTGGTATTTTAGGACACAATTTTTTGAAAAAATACTTTGCAGTTCTAGACTTGGAAAATAACAATTTGAGAATTACTAGCATACTTACAAATAATGCAATAAGATTGGAAATGTTGCAAGAATATCAGAAAAATTTACCCTTTTTACCTTTAGGGTACCTTCACGATCAGAAAGTATACATTTTATGTCATTAAATTTGGAGGAAGGTAGATTATTTATTCACAAGAAATTGAAAGGGAGTATTTTTAGCAAGCTCTTTAGTACGACCAACATTAGGTAAAATACCTATCCAAATTTTGAATACAACAGAGAACGAGATCACATTAGAAATAAATGAGCTGCAAATAGAACCTTTAAAAAATTATGAAATATGTTCTTTTGAAAAGTGTAACGGAAATGCCGAGAGTATAAGTAAAATAAGTTTAGACCATTTAAATAGTGAGGAAAAGAAATTTATTGAAAGTATTTGTGCAAAATTTTCTCAAATATTTCATCTTCCAGGACAAACTGACGACTACGAGTTTACGTAAACAATCTATTTATATTAAGCCAGGAGTAGCACCGTTTTTTACAAAACAATATAGAGTTCCTCAAACTCAAAAGTTAGAAATCGAAACACAACTCAAAAAATTATTAGACGATGACGTAATTGAGCCCTGTTGTAGTGACTGGTCTAGTCCGATCTTGTTAGTGCCCAAAAAATGGAATGGAAAGGAGAAAAAA